ATTTACTGTGTTAGCTAGCCATTCACATACCGGCGCCCGCGTGACCCGCAGTCGTTTGAAAATACAACTGCGTGGCGCATTTACTGTGCTAGCTAGCCATTATACCGGCGTCCGCGTGATCCGCAGCTGTTTGAAAATACAACTGCGTGGCACATTTACTGTGCTAGCTAGCCATTCACCCGGCGCCCGCGTGACCCGCAGTCGTTTCAAAATACAACTGCGTGGCGCATTTACTGTGCTAACTAGCCATTTACCCGGCGCCCGCGTGATCCGCGTCGTTTGAAAATACAACTACGTGGCACGTTTACTGTACTAACTAGCCATTTACCCGACGCCCGCGTGATCCGCAGTCGTTTGAAAATACGACTGCGTAGCACATTTACTGTGATAACTATCCATGCATCCGGCGCCCTCTTGATACGCAGTTGTTAGAAAATACAACTGCGTGGCGCATTTACTGTGCTAGCTAGCCATTCACCCGGCGCCCGCGCGATCCGCAGCTGTTTGGAAATACAACTGCGTGGCGTATTTACTGTGCTAGCTAGCCATTATACCGGCGTCCGCGTGATCCGCAGCTGTTTGAAAATACAACTGCGTGTCACATTTACTGTGCTAGCTAGCCATTATACCGGCGTCCGCGTGATCCGCAGCTGTTTGAAAATACAACTGCGTGGCACATTTACTGTGCTAGCTAGCCATTCACCCGGCGCCCGCGTGATCCGCAATTGTTTCAAAATACAACTGCGTGGTGCATTTACTGTGCTAGCTAGCCATTCACACGGCGCCCGCGTGATCCGCAGTCGTTTGAAAATACAACTGCTCGGCGCATTTACTGTGCTAGCTAGCCATTATACCGGCGTCCGCGTGATCCGCAGCTGTTTGAAAATACAACTGCGTGGCGCATTTACTGTGCTAGCTAGCCATTCACCCGGCACCCGCGCGATCCGCAGCTGTTTGAAAATACAACTGCGTGGCGTATTTACTGTGCTAGCTAGCCATTATCCCGGCGTCCGCGTGATCCGCAGCTGTTTGAAAATACAACTGCGTGGCACATTTACTGTGCTAGCTAGCCATTATACCGGCGTCCGCGTGATCCGCAGCTGTTTGAAAATACAACTGCGTGGCACATTTACTGTGCTAGCTAGCCATTCACCCGGCGCCCGCGTGATCCGCAATTGTTTCAAAATACAACTGCGTGGCGCATTTACTGTGCTAGCTAGCCATTCACACAGCGCCCGCGTGATCCGCAATCGTTTGAAAATACAACTGCGCGGCGCATTTACTGTGCTAGCTAGCCATTATACCGGCGTCCGCGTGATCCGAAGTGGTTTGAAAATACAACTGCGCGGCGCATTTACTGTGCTAGCAAGCCATTAACCCGGCACCCGCGTGATCCGCAGTTGTTTGAAAATACAACTGCGTGGCGCATTTACTGTGCTAGCTAGCCATTCACACAGCGCCCGCGTGACCCGCAGTCGTTTGAAAATACAGCTGCGTGGCACATTTACTGTGCTAGCTAGCCATTCACCCGGCGCCCGCGTGATCCGCAGTCGTTTCAAAATACAACTGCGTGGCGCATTTACTGTGCTAGCTAGCCATTCATCCGGCGCCCGCGTGATCCGCAGTCGTTTGAAAATACAGCTGCGTGGCACATTTACTGTGCTAGCTAGCCATTATACCGGCGTCCGCGTGATCCGCAGCTGTTTGAAAATACAACTGCGTGGCACATTTACTGTGCTAGCTAGCCATTCTCCCGGCGCCCGCGTGATCCGCAATTGTTTCAAAATACAACTGCGTGGCGCACTTACTGTGCTAGCTAGCCATTCACCCGGCGCCCGCGTGATCCGCAATTGTTTCAAAATACAACTGCGTGGCGCACTTACTGTGCTAGCTAGCCATTCACACGGCGCCCGCGTGACCCGCAATCGTTTCAAAATACAACTGCGCGGCGCACTTACTGTGCTAGCTAGCCATTACACCGGCGTCTGCGTGACCCGCAGCTGTTTGAAGATACAACTGCGTGGCACATTTACTGTGCTAGCTAGCCATTATACCGGCGTCCGCGTGATCCGCAGCTGTTTGAAAATACAACTGCGTGGCACATTTACTGTGCTAGCTAGCCATTCACCCGGCGCCCGCGTGATCCGCAATTGTTTCAAAATACAACTGCGTGGCACGTTTACTGTGCTAGCTAGCCATTCACGCGGCGCCCGCGTGATCCGCAGTCGTTTGAAAATACAACTGCGTGGCACATTTACTGTGCTAGCTAGCCATTCACACGGCGCCCGCGTGATCCGCAGTCGTTTGAAAATACAACTGCGTGGCGCATTTACTGTGCAAGCTTGCCATTCACACAGCGCCCGCGTGATCCGCAGTCGTTTGAAAATACAACTGCGTGGCGCATTTACTGTGTTAGCTAGCCATTCACATGGCGCCCGCGTGACCCGTAGTCGTTTGAAAATACAACTGCGTGGCGCATTTACTGTGTTAGCTAGTCATTCACACGGCGCCCGCGTGACCCGCAGTCGTTTGAAAATACAACTGCGTGGCGCATTTACTGTGTTAGCTAGCCATTATACCGGCGTCCGCGTGATCCGCAGCTGTTTGAAAATACAACTGCGTGGCACATTTACTGTGCTAGCTAGCCATTCACCCGGCGCCCGCGTGACCCGCAGTCGTTTCAAAATACAACTGCGTGGCGCATTTACTGTGCTAACTAGCCATTTACCCGGCGCCCGCGTGATCCGAGTCGTTTGAAAATACAACTCCGTGGCACGTTTACTGTCCTAGCTAGCCATTTACCCGACGCCCGCGTGATCTGCAGTCGTTTGAAAATACGACTGCGTAGCACATTTACTGTGCTAACTAGCCATGCATCCGGCGCCATCCTGATACGCAGTTGTTAGAAAATACAACTGTGTGGCATATTTACTGTGCTAGCTAGCCATCAACTCGGTGCCCGTGTAATCCGCAGCCGTTTGAAAAGACAATTGCGTGGCATATTTACTGTGCTAGCTAGCCATTCACCCGACGCCCGCGTGATCCGCGTCGTTAGAAAATACGACTGCGTAGCAGATTTAATGTGCTAGCTAGCCATTATACCGGCGTCCGCGTGATCCGCAGCTGTTTGAAAATACAACTGCGTGGCACATTTACTGTGCTAGCTAGCCATTCACCCGGCGCCCGCGTGACCCGCAGTCGTTTCAAAATACAACTGCGTCGCACATTTACTGTGCTAGCTAGCCATGCACCCGGCGCCCGCGTGATCCGCGTCGTTTCAAAATACAACTGCGTGGCACGTTTACTGTACTAGCTAGCCATTTACCCGACGCCCGCGTGATCTGCAGTCGTTTGAAAATACCACTGCGTAGCACATTTACTGTGCTAGCTAGCCATTCACCCGGCGCCCGCGTGACCCGCAGTCGTTTGAAAATACGACTGCGAGGCAGATTTACTGTGCTAACTAGCCATTTACCCGGCGCCCGCGTGATCCGCGTCGTTTGAAAATACAACTGCGTGGCACGTTTACTGTACTAACTAGCCATTCACCTCGGCGCCCGCGTGTAATCCGCAGCCGTTTCAAAAGACAACTGCGTGGCACATTTACTGTGCTAACTAGCCATGCATCCGGCGCCCTCGTGATACGCAGTCGTTAGAAAATACAACTGTGTGGCATATTTACTGTGCTAGCTAGCCATTATCCCGGCGCCCGCGTGATCCGCAGCCGTTTGAAAATACAACTGTGTGGCACATTTACTGTGCTAGCTAGCCATCCAACCGGCGCCCGCATAACCCACAGCTGTTCGAAAATACAACTGCGTGGCGCATTTACTGTGACTGCTAGCCTACAACTCGGTACCTTCGTGATCCGCAGCCGTTTGAAAATACAACTGTGTGGCACAATTACTGTGCTAGCTAGCCATCCACCCGGCGCCCGCTTGACCCACAGCTGTTCGAAAATACAACTGCGTGGCGTATTTACTGTAAATGCTAGCCTACAACTCGGTGGCTTCGTGATCCGCAGCCGTTTGGAAATACTACTGCGTAGCACATTTACTTTGCTAGCTAGCCATGCACCCGGCGCCCGCGTGATCCGCGTCGTTTGAAAATACAACTGCGTGCAAGTTTACTGTATTAGCTAGCCATTCACCAGACTCCCACGTGATCCGAGGTCGTTTGAAAATATGACTGCGTAGCACATTTACTGTGCTAGCTAGCCATTCACATGGCGCCCGCGTGATGCGCAGTCGTTTGAAAATACAACTAAAAAGTAAAGTAAAGTTACAACCTATATACGTCCCACTGCTGGGCTCAGGCCTCCCCTCATTTCTGAGAGGGTTTAGGGCAAGGAAGTGTCCGCCGCGCTGCCCAAATGCGTGTTGACGAACTTCACATGTCTTCGAAATATTTTTTTTCTTATTCCTCAGACATGCAGGTTTCCTCACGATGTTTTCCTTCACCGCCGAGCACGTGGTAAATCAGCACTTAAAATTGCAATTAACAATTTCATTGGTGCCGGCGGGGATCGAACCCGGGTTACTCGCGTTCTGTTATATTTACAGCGAGCGTTAACCACTGAGCTACCACGGCTCAATACAACTGCTTGGCGCAATTACTGTGCTAGCTAGATATTCACATGGCGCCCGCGTAATGCGCAGTCGTTTGAAAATACAACTGCTTGGCGCAATTATTGTGCTTGCTAGCCATTCACATGGCGCATGCGTGATTCGCGTCGTTTGAAAATACAACTGCCTGGCACATTTACTGTGCTAGCTAGCCATGCACCCGGCGCCCACGTGATCCGCAGCCATTTGAAAATACAACAGCGTGGCGCATTTACTGTACTAGCTAGCCATCAACCCGGCGCCCGTGTGATCTGCAGCCGTTTGAAAATGCAACTCCAACTGTGTGGTACATTTACTGTTCTAGCTAGCCATCCACGCGGCGCCCAGTTATACTGACTTTTCTGATTGTAATAGAAGGTAACAACGGTATTCCAGGCACAGGTTGGAACGTGTCGAGCGTGGATGTATCGAATGTGGCGGGTGAGGCGGGTGAGGCTGGCTCGGTAGTGGTGACGGCGGTGCTGGCGGGCGACGGGAAGGCGGGCGCGGCGCTGGGCGCGCTGGCGGTGGCCGTGCTGCGACGCGCCGGGCTGCGCGCGCGCGTCGCTCCACCACCGGACGCGTGCCGCGCCGCACCTGCGTCACGCGCGTGTCGCGATGCCGCGCTGGCCGCGCTGGCTGCCGCGCGCCTACACGTCGCGCTGCTGCCCGTGCCCGCAGCCGCTGCTCCCGCCGCCTGGCTATTGCGTGACTACGGCCTCGACGAGTTCGGCGACGCTACGCCGCCCGCGCGCCGCGCCTGCTTGCGTCTACCGCACGTACCGCGCGCCCGTGTCGCGCGCTCGTTACTCGACCTCGCCGACCCCGACGTCGCACGCCTCTACCAAGTGACGCAGCTCAGGCTTGACCTCGCACTTCGATCCATCAACGACTCCCGGTACCTAAATAATAAACTCCAAACCGACTTCAACGGAAACTTGCCATCTGTTTATGTCAAAATTATAGTGCCCGAGTGTATACGCGAACATAAATGCACTCTATATTCCCTCACTCTCATAGTCTGATGGAATGGTAACCGGGCACGACCAGAGAGAAATCAGGTGCAGGACTCACGACTTTATGTGCTATCGTAGGCACGGAGGTGAAACACCGCCACCGTCCTGGTTCTGAGCTGTTACTAAGAATACCTTGACAGAATTACCTAATAACTGATTTTGGCCTGACCCGAGATTCGAACCTAGGACCTCATAAACAGCAACCGCATTTCCGACCTCTAGATCAACGTGCCCTGGTAAATATATATCACATAGCGATACTTACATAATAACATTGAATTAATATGTAATACGTACTAGAACAGAAACCCCGATCAAAATCTGTGAGACAGTGTAGGGCGCGTGGTCATAGATACAGAGTATTTTATGGCATAGACTAAGTAAGTTTGAACCCATGGGCTCTTACAACCAAGTCTGCGTTCTGCTACATAGTACATATTACCGCAATACTTATTATAGACATATTATTATCAATCTACGATACGAAAGCACGTGTTTATACTTGGACCAAACAAATTACCTAGGTGGATTGAAAAGTACTCGGCCTAACACAGATCCATTCAATTCTAAAAATCAAATCTACCCACATTATTTAGATCAGTTCGGACTAGTTCATTGTGTGAAGTTCGAAACGTGTGCGATAATTAGTTGTGATTTTATAAATTTATTAACAAAGTAATCGGACATAATTTCCGCGAATGGAGCAAATCGAGCAGCGTGCCGTCATTAAGTACCTCCATAAGAAGGGGCTATCATCAAAAGCCATCCATGATGACATGGTCAGTACATTAGGCGATTGTGCTCTGTCATATTCATCCATCAAAAAATGGATAGCAGAATTTAAGCGTGGTAGAGAGAGTGTGAAAGATGAACCCCGCTCTGGAAGGCCTTCGACGTCAACTACTGACGAAAATATTAAAAAAGTACTTGATTTAATAATGGGAGACCGCAGATTAAAAATTAGAGAGATAGCCGAGATTATAGGCATCTCTTATGAACGAACTCAAAACATCATTGTCAACGAGTTGGGTTTCCACAAGGTGTCTGCGAGGTGGGTTCCGCGACTGCTTTCAGTTGAACAAAAAAGGACGCGATTGACTATTTCACGCGACTGTTTGGAGTTATTTGAAGCCGATGCAGATGATTTTTTGAATCGTTTTGTTACTATGGACGAAACATGGGTTCATTACTGTACACCGGAAACAAAACAACAATCAAAACAGTGGAGAAGACCTGGTTCACCACCCCTAAAAAGGCTAAGTCGATTTTGTCGGCAAATAAGGTGATGGCTTCAGTATTCTGGGACTCGAAAGGTGTGATTATGATTGATTATCTTGAAAGGGGTCGGACTATAAACTCTGATTACTACTGCACCTTACTACGTCGTTTACGAGAGGAAATAAAAGAAAAACGTCGAGGAATGCTCAGAAGAAAAGTCCTGTTTCATTAAGATAACGCCCGTGTTCACACGTCAGTACAGTCAATGGCTGAAATTCACAACTGTGGCTTTGAACTGTTACCGCATCCGCCGTATTCACCTGATCTGGCACCATCAGACTTCTTTCTGTACCCTAACCTAAAAAAGCACTTGGGAGGTCAAAGATTTTCGACAAACGACGAGGTCAAAGCAGCTGTAGACGCATATTTTGACTCTAAGGAAGAATCATTTTTTTTCAACGGTCTAAATGCTTGGAAGGGGGAGGTGGCAAAAGTGTATTGAACTTGATGGTGATTATGTAGAAAAATAAAAATATAACTGATTTAGTATGTGTTTATTTTCTTGGTTAGGCCGAGTACTTTTCAATCCACCCTCGTAACAATGTGTATGCATATTACATGTAACTTAACCACACAAAGTAATTTATAATAATAAGGCAAATTAATTACAACGAACGTTATTGGTAACTACACTATTTCCAGTTTTTTTTTCATATCCAATGTAAAATATTAAAATATCTACACCTATGCACAAATTAATTCACAAAAAAGAACAAACCATAAAACTATAATTCTTTCGTAGACCTTAGAAATCAATCGCTCACAACATTTTGCATTTTCTCTTTACAGAGTTTCCATCGAACTCTTCGAACCCCCGTGGTGTAGCAATTCCAATGGAACTTGTGCACTCACATTAACGAGTGACAAGAGCGAAGCAATGGTTCTTCTTGACACCGCTTTGAAGTTTCAACTGCGCATGCGAATATTGTCGCTGGGTCCCTACTTGGCGGTCACGGTGACCACACTCGGCCATCCCGCGCCGCTTTTCTGCGATTGGGCTCCAGAGTGGACTGACCTCAAAATGCTACCCGCTATAAGACTAGGACCGCCGCCGTGTTCGCCCTACACGAAACAACTGGCAGATTCGGTCACGGACTGCCCGTTCGAAAGCTTGCGACTTATGAAATTCGCCAACGTAAAGGCTTTGGCACGCTCCACCGCCGCCGTGCGAGCTCTCGTTAGTTTCAAACTCAGTTCGGAAGAGATCAGAGAATTAACAGCTCGTGCGCGCAGCGGCGCCGACCCTGACGTGATTGCGACAGAATTTCTGGACGCGCATCCAAAGAAGGAGCGGCGCGGCGAGGTACGCGTGGTCGTGATGATGCCCAGAGTAACGGCGCGCGAGGCGTACGAGGCGTCGCAGCTGGCGGCCGCCGCCGAGCTCGTGGAGGCTGAACTCGAAGTAGCCGGTGTGCCGCGCACCGCGCGCCTCAAGGTGGAGCTGTTCGACGACAAGTGCGACGTGCGGCAGGCATACAAGTACATGTTGAACGCGCTGGGCACGGGCGAGTACGGCGCGCTGTCAGCGGTGGCGGGGCCGGCGTGCGGCGGCGCGTTCGCGGCGGTGGCGCGCCAGAGCCCGGCGCACCTGCTGCCCGTGCTGGCGTACTCGGCGCAGGCGCCGGCGCCGGCCGCCGCGCTTCTGGCGGCGGGTGACGCACGCGACGTGGCCGCCGCGCTGGACGCGCTGGCGCACCGCTTGGCCTGGCGCCGCGCCGCCGCGCTCAGCGAGCCCGCTGCGCGCGCCGCTCTCGATCCAACGCGACTGCATCTCGCGCTCGAGGTGCACCTCGACCTGCCCGACCCACTGCCCGACGACGACGGACAGATATTCATTGAGGTTTGTATTTCCCTAGACCTTACCCCTCAGATTGCCTCATTTTTTTAAAATAGAATAAGGGTGACAAATAAGCATATAGTCCACCTAATAGTGATTGAGTAAAAAGGTTCATGTATATAGTTGTATTCTATTGATCGACAGATGGAGCTATTTGATTTATGTACGCGCTATTGAATGTATCCTGCCGTAGTGGTTAGTTATCCGCTAATGTATGTCAAATTGAGTTTTACATCGAGAATAAAAACGAGTTGTGTTAACGTGAGTGTGTATCATTTCTTAACATTGGTGCCGAAAGCAGGGACCTTTAGATTGAAACTAAAGTGAAGTTAGTGAATTGTGAAGTGTTAATAAGTGGTAAGAAGTGAGAACAGTGCAAAGGTAAACGAAATTGGACTTTAAAACCGTGAGTAAATAAACTTTTCAAATATCAGTGAATTAGAAGATTGTCTTAGAACAATTACTCGGACTTGTAAAAATTTCGTAATTGCATTCTGTGGACTTAGAAAAATCTAGTGTTATTTTAGACTTGTAAAAATTTCGCGATTCTATTCTATACACTTAGAAAATTCTCAGAGCGTTGTGGCCTTGTAAAAATTTTGTGATTTGTTACTAAAGACTTAGAAAAATTTGTATAATTTGAACCTGTAAAATAATTGAGAATGTGTTATATGAACTTGCATTAGGTTTTAATTGTTCCATATACTTTGAACAGTTTATCGAGTTGAATTTTAGGATTTTGTGAATTATTAATTCGAAAGACTTAAAGAAAATTTACGTTAAATATAATAAAATAAAATGGAGAGATTAATCAAAGGGCAACAAGAGTTGTTTGAGCAATTAAGAAAAGCAGAGCGCAATCTTAAGAAGGCGAAGCATGAGGTTCGGGTGAAGTCAAGTTGTTTGACAGCAAGAATGGAAGCGTTAAACAAGTTGGAAGAAGATTTCAACCAAAATCATCTCGAAATAGTTGCAAAAGCAACAGAGGAGCAAATAGAAACGTTACAATATTTTCAAGATGACTTGCAGGATAGCTTTCAAGAATATTTTATACAATACAAAGCCTTATTGAAGGAGTACCTAGCTTATTCCGATATAAACACGACTACACAAAAGATAGACGGAAATGAGAATGCATCGAACAAAAGTCAAGGAAACTCTGAGGTGCAATTACCTAGAATACAACTTCCTATTTTCTCAGGAAAATACACCGAGTGGCAATCTTTTTATATGTTTGTCTCTTTAATACACGAAAATCATACACTTTCAGCTGTTCAGAAATTACATTACTTAAAATCGAGTTTGTCTGGAGAACCTAAAGTGCTTCTGAGGAATTTTGCTACTACATCGGCTAATTACAAAGAAGCATGGGAGCAATTAATTAAACGTTATAACAACAAAAGATATAACTTTAATGCTATTATGAAGACATTATTTGGACAAAAGAATATACAATACGAATCGGCGAATGCCATTAGACATTTGTTAGATACAACAACTTCTAGCCTAAAGGCTCTTAATAATCTTAACATTGGTACGGAACAATGGGACGCAGATATAATTCATTTGGTAGTGTCAAAGTTGGATCACGAGTCGCATCGACAGTGGGAAAATTATATAAGTGCTGCATCAGATGAATTACCTAAATGGTCTCAGTTAGAACAATTTTTAGAAACGAGATTTAGAACTTTGGAGATGATCGATACAAGTAAGCAAACTACAAGCAATAAGATTACAATACAATCGAAAAATTTAAACCAATCGGTAAAAGCTAAGTCATTTCATTCAGCTATGAATGTGAAACAGAGTTCAGCTGAGCAGAATTGCGCAATGTGTAACGGTCCACATTTTGTTTATTACTGTACTCAATTTAAAAAGCAGCCAGTTATTGAGAGACAAAATATTGCAAAAACTAAAAGGCTTTGTTTTAATTGTCTAGCACCTACGCATCCTGTATATAAATGTCATCAAAATACTACTTGCCGCAAGTGTGGTAAAAAACATCACAATTTGCTTCATTTTGAGAAAGAGGATAAAGAAGCTTTTAACATTTCGAAACAACATGATTTATCTAAAGAGAACCTCAATAAAATAGTGATGCGACTTCTTCAGCGAATGAGAGAAACATAGTAGCTAATTTTTCAAGACAAGATTTAAAAACTTATAATGTATTGTTAGCGATTGCTGTTACAAAATCTAAATCTAGAAATGGTTCCTATGTGATTAGAGCGTTGCTTGATCAAGGCTCGCAAGCTTCTTTTGTTAGTGAAAATACTGTACAATAGTTAGGTCTTAAGCGTACAAATGTAAATGGTAAGGTGTCAAGTTTGGGAGATGATCAAATGGTGATTAATCATGCGGTTAGTATTGAAGTTGAATCGCGTCACGTACCTGGGAAAATTATATGCGTTAATGCGTATGTATTAAAATCACTTACTTCATTGTTACCGGGTCGTGAAGTACGTATACCCGATTGGTTAGAATTAAAAACCTTACCTCTTGCCGATCCTGGATTCATCACGAAGGTTGATTATTACGCGGTGCTGACGTATACGGGGAAATATTGCTAAGTGGAATTAAGAAAAGTCCATATGGAAATTTAATAGCACAAAACACGTTGTTTGGGTGGATTTTGTCTGGTAAAGTAACACACGAGTTGAATAGTGAGAATGTTATCACTTTACATGTTCATATAAGAGAGGATGAGATACTGAAAAAATTTTGGTAAATGGAGAACGAGCCTAATAGTATCGAGAAAAAGTTAACAGCAGAGGAAAAATTATGTGAAAAGTTATACAAAGAAACTACTTTAAGGCGTGAAGACGGTAAATTCATTGTAAGATTACCTTTTAAAACAATTGACCCGCAGTGTCAATATGGTAGATCATTTGAGATTGCTGTTAACAAATTACATTCTTTAGAGCGAAGATTGTGTAAAAACCCCTACACTTTATAATGAGTACATTAACGTTTTACAGGAATATGCAACGTTGGACCATATGAAGGTAGTTAATGGTGATGATGTTAATAATCCTAAAGCCGTGTATCTGGGAAGGTAAAGAGACAACGAAGGTCAGAGTGGTCTTCAATGCTTCTAGTAAGTGTGTTAATGACGTGTCTCTTAACGACGATTTACTAGTTGGTCCTAAACTCCAACAAGATTTACGTCACTTGTTACTACGATGGCGCAAACATCCTATTTATATAGTTGCCGACCTAGTGAAAATGTATCGGCAGGTATATGTACATGAGGATGACACCGACTTTCAGAGGATATTATGGAGAACTAAACCTGAGTTACCAGTTCAGCACTATAATTTCCTAACATTGACGTTTGGCACTGCCTGTGCGCCTTATCTTGCAGTGAAAACGCTACAGACATTAGCAGAATTAGAAAAGGACAAATATCCATTGGCAGCTCAGATTACACAACAAGATTACTATGTTGACGATTTAATGACAGGTTGCGAAACTGAGGAAGAATCATTACACATTTACGAACAAATGTGTAAACTGATGGGAGCTGGTGGATTTGAACTGCAAAAGTGGAGTAACAATAATCAATTGTTTCTAAATCACATTAGGAAAGAGAATTTGAACACCGAAAGGTCTATAGCGATTAAGGTTTATAATGTGATGAAGGTTTTAGGCATTTGTTGGAACAGGGGTACAGATAATTTTGAGTATATAGTAAATCTAGCTGAACCTGAAGAATATATAACAAAACGAAAAGTTTTATCAGATGTTGCCAGACTCTATGATCCTATTGGATGGATTGCCCCAGTAGTAATTACTGCTAAGGTTTTCATCCAGAAATTATGAAAAGCATGCCTTGAGTGGGATCAGAAATTGCCCAAAAATCTTTTATCTGAGTGGTTAACATATAGATACGAGTTAATGAACCTTAAGAATATCACGATACCGCGGTGGCTTGGTTCAACAAAGGGGTCTAAATTGGAACTTCACGCATTCGCAGATGCATCGAGTGTAGCCTATGCAGCTGCAATTTATCTCAGGGTAATGAACGATAATAAAGAAGTAAACGTGAGGCTTATTACTGCCAAGACTAAGGTCGCACCAATAGAAAAGGAGGTGACCATACCCCGCTTGGAACTTTGCGGAGCAACTCTAGCTGCAAAATTATTAAACGAGGTTTCGCAAGTAATGGACATACCTAAATGAGACTTATATGCATGGACTGACTCAACTGTAGTGTTGGCTTGGCTACGCGGACCTGTCAGTCGATGGACGACTTACGTAAGTAATAGGGTGTCCCACATTCTCACAATTATGGATGTTGAACAGTGGGGACATGTATCCACTAATATTAATCCCGCTGACTGTGCGTCAAGAGGACTAAAACCGACGGAATTAAAGAGCCACAAATTGTGGTGGAGCAGTCCTAACTGGCTATCACAACAAATTGTTCATATTGAAAAGCCTGAAATAATGGATACTCGTGAAGAAGAACGAATAAAATCGTTTGTTGTTAAAGAAAAGGGATGTACTGATTTTGAATGGATGAAATTTTTAAACTTAACTAAGCTATTGAAAGTTATTTCGTTATGTCGCAGATTTCTGAAAATAAGGTTGCCGCCAGGTGAGAGGAAAGCCTTTCCAAAATTTGCTTCAAATGACGAGATGAATCAAACGCTACAATTTTGCATTAAACAAGTTCAAGAATGTGAGTTCGCGGAAGAAATAAATTCTTTGAAATTAAAAGGTTGCGTTGAAAATCGGAGCGTGTTACGCACTCTTTGTCCCTTTTTAGATAAAAATGGGATTTTAAGAGTGGGTAAGACGCCTAAGCCAAGCTAATGTAAGCTACGATCTGAAGAATCCGATCATTTTGCCTGCTGAGAATCATCTCAGCCAGTTAATAGTTGCTGATGCTCTACTTGCTTCTACAAAGACTCTTCATGGTGGTCCGCAACTGATGATGAGTTTTTTGAGATCAAAATTTTGGATATTGAGAGCACGTAATATGGTTAAAAAGTACTACA